GCATATTTAAATCCCACAAGTAGCAGGGAAACTAGATGACAGCGATGGTTCCGCTTTAGGGCCCCTCCAAATTGTGGGACTCAAATCACCAAGCATGCAAGTGATTCTCTCAGACCTTGTGGGGCAGCAAGGCATTACTAGTAATATTACTCACTAGTAACTAGTAGTGTAACTAATTACTAATAAACAGCCCTCCCCAAAACAAAGGAAATTCAGTTTTTTAATAGTGTAGGAAACTAGCCTGGAAGATGGAAAGGCTTTACATTCAGCAGCTGAAAATATTCCTATCACTTTAAATTTAGCAAACAAAACTGGATTTTAAGTATGTCTGAATCTAAGGGAGAGGGGACAACTTTGTGGGGAGTAGTAGAAAAGTAATAGAACAAATCTAGTCTAATTACTCTTGGCAGGGAGTAATAAGTAATAAATTACTTTTTTTGAGTAACTAGTCCAACACTGATACTTACACTGTCAATAACAAGAACAACAAAGCTAAACAAACAGTAATTATGCGTGCGCGAGTAGGTGAAATAAACTATTACACAATGTACTCTGGAAACTGGACTCGATTAACAGTGACCCTGTGCTGCTGGGCAGGTCTCTCTCTCAGTGACACTACCAGACGGGACAGCAGTATGCTGTCATCCCGAGGCCCTGATAGCTGAACAGGGATCTTTGTTCCTGAAGGTGCCTGGGCGGGAGGCCCTGATGATGGCACCACTGAATACCTCCATTTAGAGATTTGTTGCCCCCCGCCTCGAACGGTGACAGAGGTCATGCTAGCTTTTCTCTGTGGCGTTATGTCAGCCGTCTAGAATGTCCCGTGCGCTTTCTTTTTGATCTCGGAGTTCACCTTTGAGTGCTTTCCTGTTGTATTCTCCTTTATCAACACAGTCATCCGCAAAGATACAGTAGAGTGTTAACATGAGCTTCACTATGCAGTTGATCAAATGCAACCAGTAATATACAATAAAAGTTGCAGCAAGCTGCATAGCTCTGTATGTATGAGTTTTATTCATAATGGAGGTAGCAGGGGGAGGGAATCTGATCAGGGAGGTGAGATTTTACAGACTAGATTTTTACTAATAACTGCCAGACCTCAAGCATGAAGCAGATTTGATAAAGCATGATGCTGAGTCAATGGGGCATTGTGAAGAGGAGAGAGGACAGAGACCGATACTTTAGCTCATTTTTTTAGTGGCTGGTCTAAATAGGGCCCTCTTTAAACAGGAGTATACTGCTCGGAGTCCTCTTCACAAAGGATCTTTGTCAAGTACATGGTGTCCTATAGCACAGATGTACTATGAAGTCGCATTGCCTTGGCCTCTTTTCCAGTGTGACATGGGGAGTCTGTACTGTCATTGAGTGGGCATACAAATAAGAATTCAGCTCCTTTACATTTCCTGCATGTGTGTAATAGAGAACATACTGTGCTTGCTTTCTTCACTGCCCTAGAACCATGCATGTGTAAATCTTTATTGCTGCCGGTACACCCTTGTACAAAGATTCATTTTCAGTATCATAAATTTAGATGGGGACCAAATGCCGATGTTTGCAAAAAAATATATATAGTGGAATAACATGGAGTCTGTTAGTAAATTAGTAAATGTTGTAAAGATGTGCAAGTAGATGGATTTCATAATCTTCAGACAGAGCGAGGCTAGCTGTTTCCCCATTTCCAGTCTTTGTTCTAGTGATGTGTCGTGACCGATGGTAGCGGCTCCTGTCTAAAATTTCTTTTTTCTTACTTAAAAAAAAAAAAAAGAATACAAGACAGGATAATAGCATGAACCTCTAATGTGTTTGTTGAATGTGATCCAGAAACATTTCACTTTGGTAATAACATTAAGACTCCTGCATGTTAAGACTTCTATGTCATGCCAGTTTCCAACATAAAAAACACAGTTTAATAAAAATATTATGTTCAATACACACATGTTTTTACATTATTTAAGGTTTTTATACCAAGCATAATGTAAAATTACAGTTTTCTGTTAATTATATGGGTTGGTAATTACATTGAAGAATTTAAGTGACATATGTAGACACATAGGGCATAATATTGGCTAAATTGTAAGAACCAGAAGTGGTACTAAATGAAGAGGCGTGGAGTTGAAAGAACGAGCTCTTATTGCTGAACTGAGCCAAATTATCTGGCTAACAAAAAAAAAGGAATTCCCATCTCTACTTTGTGCTAAGCTAAGCTAACCACCTGCTGCTGTGGCTTTATGTTATATTTATTTATTATATGTGTAGTATTGATCTTCTCAGTTCACTTTCTGCAAGAAAGTGAAAAGATATACTTCCCAAAATGTCAAACCATTTCTTTCACTTTGCAGTAGGGCGAATTTAAGTTTGTTTTCTAGCGTTATACTGTATTGGACACAACCTTAGTATTTGTCTGTATCACACACATTTCTATACTCATGTTTATGGTGATTATTTAGTTAATCAGTCCAGATTTTTTCAAATGACCGCAAAGGGACAATGTTAATTTTTTTTTTTACATATCTGTGTACTTTTTCTATTGTTTTTTTTTCTATCCTTCAGGCAGCCATTTGTTGTAATTTGTCTCAGTACACGACAAAAGTCAACTGGTATTGCACGCTGTATGAGATGTCGTGCGATGCCTGAAAGGCTGTCTGTAGGTTGAGGAATGTTCTTTTTAATTTAAGCCCAAGCAACAACATTCCCATCTTCAGCCCATGCCAATGATGGTTCTCCAGAGGCCTTTGAAGAAAATAGAGGGCTGGTGTGAAAGCTTGCAGGCCCTTCCAGCTGACCCATTGACCATGCTGACATCAAAAGCTTCCTCTAATTAGTGTCAACAAATAAGCAGCCTCTCGTCTGCAAGGCAGGTTGGGAAGCTGTATCTATACTCACTTACAGTCAAACATCATCACTTACTCGTGATTGTGCACATTTTGGTTGGTGGTTGATGAGTCAATCCTTCCTGCAACAGAATCAGTGTTTTTTCAGTCACTTCGGCCGGGAAAGATTCAGAATTTACCTGTTACTCGTCAGATTAACAATTGTGTCTCTTGACTTTTAATGCGACCCCCCTTCCCCGGCACGTATTTGGGTTTCAGGTTCCTCTTTACTTGCAGTTCCAGTCTGAGCTCTGAGGAAGGGCTTGAGACACTTATTTTAAACCGCTCTGTCTCACACATAATTCACACTTACTAACCACTAATTGCACCTCGTGCATGCACTTCCTCAGGAACTGCTCAAAGTACAGGAAGTTCATAATAAAGTACAAAAGTGAATTTAATTTTTTTTTAATGCACACAGATCTCAAAACGATTTGACTGAGAGTCCTTTTACAGCCATATCTCTAAAGAAATACCTTTGCTGTTCAAATAACTGTATTTGTTTCCTGTGGTTTTGTTTATTTTAAATAATTCAGTTAAGGTTTATAAGACTGAATCAGATATCAATCTCTATCTATCGATGGTTCAACTTTATGGTTACTGTCTTTTTTCACTAACATGCTCACATTGACAATGCTAACGTGCCGATGTTTGGGGCGCCATAAAGTTAACCATTATTTCCAGCATAGTTAGTTAACATGCCAACATTTTCTAATTATCATAATTTTTTTTGCAGGTATTTGGTCATAAACCAAAGTATTCATTCTCTCACGGACATTTATTGGCGCGACACCATGTTAAAAGACAAGAAAGATATTTGAATTATCCCATGGAACTACTGCTTGTGTGTCCTATCAGTAAGCGAGAGTTGTAGTCATAGGCATTTTATCTGTGGTTGCGATGAGGGGCCCACCGGATTCTAAAACGAAACAAAAATTTGGTACCTTTTCACACAGAAACATTCTTTTGTCGCTTGTGTTTCTTTGAACATTGAGCTGTAGAATTCACTTGCACCAATAACTTACTTGACGCCCCTCTGCATTTCATACCCTCTTGTTGCCAGTAAACAACAGAGGAAATTTACAGATGTTAATAGAACACCTTTAAGTTGCTCACTATTGCCTCTTAACCCTTATTGTGTTTTGTTAAAACAGTCTCTGCAATGTTAAACCTCAATGGAAACTAAATCACAGACAGTAAACGATAGGTTCAGTGTAAGGTCATAGTGAATATACCACACTGATAAAAGAGATAATTCAGCTCATTTTCTTGATAACTTTGACTCCATATCACTACATTGTGTTTCACAAAGAGGTAAGTTGAAAGAGATAAACCCTCTTAAGCTATGCTTCTGTATTGGCAAGTGTGCCCCTCATGAAACACAATATAGAGAAGATCCAGTGTCCCTATGGCTTTTTTTTTTGCCTTTGTCCTCAAAGAGATTGTGAAGAACAACAGGAAGGTATTTGTTTTGTTTTGTGATGCCCTCTTTGTCTTTTTGGGCCAACTTAAAGCTCTAAACAAAATCTTCACTGTTCACGGTTTCAGCAGTCCTGCTTGGTGAAAAAAGACACCATATTTGGCATGGACACTTAATGTCCATGTCAACATAAACAGTGTGAAATGTGACACCAAGTAAGCAGCATGTGCATTACTTTTTTGAAAACGAATACAAAATAGACCGTGGGAATGTTTCCCATGCCAAATAACAAAATATTATTGAAGAAAGTTCTGTCTTCAGTTTGAGATTTTTTCTTCTACCAAAATGGACGTTCTGTCTCTTACATTAACATATGAATTATCAAAGCGACGGTCCTTTGACATCTTCTCAGAGGAAGACAGAGAATACTGGACACACTCATGGGTTAAGTTGCTCAACATTAATAAAATAAACACTTACTGGATTGTTTTTTGAGTACACCATTATCACTTTCACAGCTGTTTTGAGCACATATGTTTTCTTCACTGTTTAGTTGTTTAACTGATACCCACATGTCAACAATGGACACTTTTTTTCCCAGTGACCTGATATGGATTTTCACATGGATGTTCGATGCTGATAAGGCCAAACACAAAAACAACTAAGCTAGGACAGATTTTCAAAGACAACCGTATTGTCAAGGTGTTTATTTACAAAGGACATTTTATGTACATTTTGATTTTTACATATATTTACATCACCTAGACATAATCACCACCCGCTACACCCACAACATTCGTCTTTATAATCATTGAACATTCCATTAATATCCTCATCTGATATTTTAAATTAAATAGAAGAACCCCACATTTGCCCCTTTTCATTGGGGGATGATTAAATTAATATGTCAGATACTCGTACCAGCAATAGTTTTAGTTCACAGTGTCATTGTAAACCCTCTACCAAATCCATGTCAAGTATATCAGCACATTCAAATCCACAAACAGCATACAAGTAACAAGTTTAGAAATTTTGTTTTAAAGTTTCCAGTAGTATAAGAGTAGTAGACGTCCAGATCAAGTCAGTCACATTCCAGAAAAAATGAGTGCAAGGACCTCTAAGTGTGATTAAAATCTTACTTTAGGAACGTGTACTGCATATCAAGATAATGGTTTCATGGTTACACTTACAGTAGAAAAGCTGACCAATGATGAACATTAGGAGTTTTTCTTTTTATACCAAATCAATGAGGTAGAGAGAGTTGTTTCTGTCTCTTAACTGAAACTATTTGAAGCCACTGCAGCATGCCATACTGGCGGCAATGTGTAACACTTACTGCAAACCCCAAAAGGCTTGCATAACTACAGGTTGTGCAGCGTGTGCAATGGCTTTTCGAACCCAAGTTTCCAGAGCACACACTAATAGTAACTGCCCATTATTTTTCAAGAATAAACTACAGCAAACATTATTTCCATCTGACCTATCTGAAAGCGCGATATGTTACTGCAAATTCAACATATTCATGGTTTTATCACTTGCCCTCCCAACAGATTTTAACTTAACTTAATTTTTTTAGGTGTATTCACATTAATGGGTTAGCTATCATTGTTGATTTGGTGCCAACTCACTGACACAAGGCTTCTGGATACTTGGCCCATGAAAAACTTATCTAACCATAAGGAAAAACAAATACAGGTTCGGCCACAAGGTGGAAGGCAGGGGAAATAACTGTCCTCCTTAGTGTGCCCATTGATGCAGCAACTCAACTTTGGTTGTTGTCTCAGAATCTGCGTGCTGACAGTGTTAGTCCTTCAAAGCCTATATAAATACACGATTCTAGGTCAACCTTTAAAAACTCTGTATAATTTACTTGACTTTTGAGGAAGCTCCTCCAAAAATTGAAATTGCATGACTGCACAGAAACAGTAAATTCAAAAATTGTCCATGGCCGCTCTCCACAAAGAGGGAAATTTGCCTTTTGACTTTCATGAGTCATACTTGTATCCACCGAGGTGTAGCTCAGCTCTTTTGGTGCTGTCCTTACCTGGTGTTCCCATCAAGCTATAGGATCTCCACTTTTTGTGAGCAGACCAGGTCACTGTTGACCAGATTCCACATGTGCATGAGGTCCGACGGAAGCAGCTTGTGCACCACAATCATGCTCTTAAAGAAACAGGGTTCTCTGTTCAATTTACTGTTTTTATTTTTCACCAAGCCAAACGTCTTAAAGGCGTTGTGTTTTACAGGAGTGACCTGAAGCACCTCCAGACACATGCCCAAGAAGACATCATCGATGGGGTAGAGCTCCAGGGTGTCTGCTACCCAGTGAAGCCTCCTTGCCAGGGTCCCATCCATCAGAAAACCCCCTCCACCTGCATATGGAGGGTAGTGTGTCTTATTATACAGAACCTGGGGGATGTAGTATTTGTTTTCTTTTTTACGAATGGGCTTAGCCTTGAAGATCACATCCCCCACAAACAGGTTCTTTGTGTGCTTGCTGCTTTCTAGAAACTCAAAGATATTCTCCACGCTGACAAACACATCATCGTCCCCCTTGAAGACGTAGCGTACGCTGGGGCAGTAAGTGTGGAACCACTTGAGGAAGTGAGTCTCCTTAAGCGTGAGGTTGAAGAAGCTATCATGGAAGTCCCACTGGAGGATGTCGCCGTAGATGTAGTCCTCGTACTCCACTAGCTTCTGATGGTTCGCTCTCTCTGCCTCATTGGAAGGTTTACCAAGAAGGAAGAGGGTCTTAATCCTCTTGCCATCAACCACCTGCTCTTTGCCCCAGGTTTTTCGGATGACCTCCCTGCGATCGTGCTGGGTGGCCACAGATTTTATAACCATGAGCAAATATATGTCCCCAGCGCACTTCTCTGGGTGGTTGAAGAGCATCGGGAAGTAACGGCAGTGTCGAAAAAGCATGAACTGCTTGAAATTTTGCTCCAGGCCCCTGAACCAGTCCTGACTTGAGAGGTTGAGGTTGGCAGTACAGTTAGAGCTGGTTACATCCCACGTTTTAGGGCTGCTGTCCTCTGTGATTCTTGGCTTCTGCGTTGTGGCCTTAACTTCAGGCGCTGGCTGTTTTTTGCTCGACTTCCAGAAGCCTTTTAACCCCATGTAAGAGCCACTCTTCTCTTCCAAAGCGGCTCCAGGCTCCACTCCCGCAGAGGCATCCATGCGTGCCTGCCTCTCGAGTTCGAAGGGAGTCCCCATATTGATGCTCCCCCTCTGGACGACAGTCAGCGCCACGACAGCCAGGAAAAACATGACACTCACCCTCTTGTACACCCTGCAGCGATCTCTGTTGTTCATCCTGGGTGAAGAGAAAGATCACAGATGTCAGTCAGAGATAGGGAAATCTCACTCAGATACCTTTTTATAGATTTTTCAGGCAAACATGCATGGTTTAGATTAAACCATGTTCACATTACTAACAGTAGATTACTTGCTCTTTTTGCCTGCAAAGAAAAGAAGGGCAGATTGTCACCATAATAAGTTCCCACATGCTAACACCATCTCCAGACCTGTATATGCTGTTTTATGTATACCCAGCAACGCAAAGAATAGCCTGAAGGGTTGGTTGTCATTATACTATGATCGCTGTCGGCTTTCTCTGTAACTAGACCCATTTTTGCATACGCGCCATACAACTATCTACATAAAAAGCCAGTGACAATCTAAAATATTTTCTCCCTGTGTGTTGCGGTGTACCATTATTTTATTTGCTCTAACACAAATCACATGTAGCAGAGATGCCCTTCCATTTTAACACAGATCAAGCATCACTTGTCACTTTTTATTTAATCAATGTCACCTCTGGAGTAACATGTGGAATGCACTACTTGAAAAGTGAAGTAACCCACTGTCATGCCAGGGCTCGTTACATCCATTCACGACCCCAGAGACACTCCCATGTGGGCCCCTTTGTCTCTGAAGGAGAGTTTTCCCCTCGATAACAACAAACAAGGTAAATCCTATCCAATTCTACAACCAGCCAACACACCACTAATAAAATTAGAATCAAAGGCCATCTTAACGAAATTCAGCATTTAAATCTTTGACAGTTACACTTATTGGTAATAGAAACTCACTTGTGAGTTGTCTCGAGTCACACCTTGAAACAGCAAACAGCACTTTACACTTTTTTATTTTTTACCCCCCTCCTACTATTAAAACCTACAAGCACAGAATCACCTTGAAATTATTAGCAAACTGAATCCTAGTATGTACTCCTTGCTCTTTTGCTAAAACAAGTGGGATGAGACATTGATCACTAAATTCCAAGAAGCACATTTGCATTTTCTGATGTTAAATGTTGATTTTGATGACTTCAGCAGTTTTAAGAAGAAAGAAATTGTGCGACTGACGGGCGGGTGATTCAGGCGAGAGGACAAGCTCAAATAAGCATCGTGTAAAAAAAAAAAAAGATTAATCTTTAGAATAATGACATATTTGAGGAAGATGCCACTTACATTTTCTCTTATGCTTTCAGTCGATCTGTGACGGTTGCTTGGAGACTAAACCCATAAAAAACAAAAAGCCGATTACTGAGCCCAGAAAAGTGGGATGTCTGGGAGTTTATATCTCATCGGCTTCTGGAAACAAACGTTGTAATAATCCTTTTCATGGAAGCAGTCCCGCAGCCAGTAGCGCTGTGAGAAGCGAGCGGACTGTTTCTTTGCCTGGCGGTGCAGATGTGCGCTGCGGAGGACTGCGCGCTCTCTCTCTCTCTCCCTCACTCAGATTCGCTTTTTAAAGGCACGGTCGCGGCCACGTACCACATAGACCACAGGACGTGGATGATGAATGAACAGACAAAAGTCTAAGCTACACACCTATGGTACACACACTTATCCCACACGCATGATACTTAGTCATAGGTTAACATAGCCCCTCAGATTAGGTCAATATTTTTTTTTTTTTGTTTCCTCTATTTCACTTTAGTCTGAAGGGTAAAATAACCAGACAAGTGTTGTTTTACAGGCATTAGTTATATTTTACATTTTCAATATTTATTTAACTGTTAAAATATGTGTTCTGTAGTCTTTAATCTACTTCCCCCTGAGCTTTCCCCACAATGCCAGGAATATACAGGTAATTATGGAGAAGAACTGTTATTCACTTTGTGCTTTTGGCCTAAAACCAAAAGGAATTTAAGAATTCTGATTTAAATCATCCGTAGGCCATTAAAACTCCCAAATTCAGTAAAAAAATAAAAAATAAATAAGTACTGTGGACATGACTTCCATTTCCTTAGTGAGTTCTAATTTAATTGCAAATCCCTATTCTCCATAGTGTACTGTACTGTATGTGGTGGTGTTTCCTGCCTCAGTCAGCTGCTTAAAACAGGTGAAATAAAAATAATATGTATTCAAGTATCAAAGGTTTCATACGTAAGTAAAAGTGCTGAGATTCTTTCCACTACTTACCTTGCTCTTCACAAAAGAATCAATCAACAACTTTACACAAAAGGGATTACCAACATGGGAACATTCTTCTTTTTTACAATGTGCCGGAGCTGAAGGAAAACCTTTTGAAGAACCAGAAAAAAACATTTTTGTTAATGTCTAATCCCCACTTATGTAACATAGTTGAAAAGAAGATATTACCTTGTATTAATAAAAAAAACACTTTGCTGCTTATTTCTCTCCCTCCGACTACCACAACCTAACTCTATCACCTCTGTTTCTACTCCTATTGTTTCTTGTTGCTACAACTTTAACTACTACACAACAGATAATAGGTAATAAAAGGCTTCTTTGTTTACTAAATAACAATACACCACAATACGCCATTGTAACTTTGTTGTTGTATTCCACACAGCATAGCACTATTTAATTCGTCATCCCTAATTATTACTCTAGTAGTAATCAATGTTTTTGATATTCAGACATAATTACATTAACACCTCACTACAGCTGCTCTGTGCATTTTATTTTATTTTTTTAGCCTCTTTTAGGTCTTTTTTTTTGGCACATTTGCTGTATGGTTAGGTCTCACACGTTTCAAACCACTCACCTATTTCCAAAAAAATATCCTCCGAACCCACTGCACTGTACACAACAGACAAAAAGTAGAGACCAAAACAAAGTACAAATGGAGCGTAAATCCTTGATGACTGACTCACGAGGTAGTCAGAAACGTGAAATGGATGCTAATTGTTTGCCATAAAAACGTTTTAAGCAGGGATATGGTGATGCTCATTTTATACCCTCTAGTGGCCACAACTTGATAAATATAGATTTAAGTAAAGGGATAATATATTGTCGCTGAAACCTTGTTTCTCCATAGTTCGTCACTTTTTTTTTTCTTTTCATAAATCAATGCTATTTACATATATTTAATCAATGAAAAGTATTAAAACCAACATGCCGATGATATTTATAACATATCAAGTGACCAAGCAACCTCAAATCAGAATATCTGTTTTACAGTTTAAATGGACAAAACAGGAACACATCATTAAAACAAATAATACAATAGGAATTATAAAAAACAAGGCACTGTCAAAATTTGAGTGTCTTTATATTTGCACAATGGAAACATGAGGAAGTGGAATTGAACATTTCTTAAGTTAATATAAACCCTTGGCTTGTCATGTTGGCCTCTATGGACAATATAAATAACTAATAGAGCCACAATGATTAGCTAAACTATTCGTAATATTATTCAACCCATACAGTGGACTTCCTGGTATGTGGACAACAGCAAGAGGTTTTGTTATTAATGAGCTGTCACAGAACAAACACAGGTTGTTGTTTTTTTCCAGCTCCACTGCCTTTTACAGCCATTGTGTGACAAAGGAGTTCATATGAGTATGACGGCTTGTAAACTTATGTTGATATATCACTTTTATGGACTGGCTTGTGTGGAAACAATGTTCTATAAAGATTAGAGCTTTTGATGAATGCATCAAAAGAAAGTTTGGTTTTCTCTGAAATGATATGATCTGAGAAATCACAAAGATACTGTGTCCTCAAAAGATGAGATGTGGACATAAAAAAGAATTTACTGACAAGGAGAAACTTTGAATCACACTCTCAAGGTCTCTCAGGCATGAAAACAGAATGAGGACTGGTGATAGCTGAAATGCTGATTGCATAGCTGTCACCACCACAACCGCACTTAACCGTTGCTGTGGCAAACTGCTCTTCCGCCTCTTTATGATCTGGGGAAAGAACAACAAAACGTGTCTCCGTGCTTCAAAACAGGATTTTTTCAATCCGAACACAGCTGTGATCCAAAATCTCTCCTTCCTCTCCTTCTCTCTCCATTTCCTGGATCCAACCAGCCATCCTTCTCAGGGCCATGTGCATCCTGTTGCCTGCTGGCTGTGTTTTTTCCCGTTTAGATTTTTTTTTTCCTCTCTGGGGATTCGGGCTCTGCTGTGTTGTAGTGTTGTAAGTGTTGTAGAGGAGTGAAGTGGTGATGGACACCACAGTCCCTCATCTGTACCTTGGCTGGAAAGTCAGCGTTTGTCACTGATGTCCCTATGAACACAGTAACTCATTGTAACACATGGTCGGTTTCAGGATATGACCTTGTAACTGCAATTATGTTGATTTGCAGTTTTCAAAAGACAAGAGCAACATTAAAGCTGCACTAATCAACGCTTATTTACAATGGATCACATGAGTACTTGAATGTGAAAGGGATGAAACCAAAGAAATGTATCACCCAACTCTCCAGTTCCCCTCATCTTTGTGGTGCATTTTAGCATCATTCAGCTCATAGTTTTGGTTTTAGGGCCTACAACTTTACTGTTCTGGGTCACTCTTGCTGCTCTCATTAACCTTGCAGCAGCAGCAGGCAGTTGTTTTCATCAAAATAGCTTTAAAACCTGCACAGCACCAAACCGTAGAAAGTCCACAACTAGCTGGTTAACATGGTGAAGCATTTCCCAGCTAGCCAGATATTTCCTGCAGGTGGATTTAAAGAGTGAATGTTGGACTTAACACTCCTCAGGTGGCCAAACAGACAACTCCATGTTTTCTCTGTGTCTTTTGACCCCCAAGTGACCAAAAAAAACAATACTGCTTTAAGTAACTTTAAAGTAATATTGTATAATCTATAATCATAGATGACTTATGCTCACATTGCAAAATAATGAAAGTCCTTACCCTGATATACACTAGTACTGCAGGCATATCTAACATCCCTTGAATCGTAGTCACAGTCTGCATTTGTGATGCAAATTAAAAAAAATAAAAGACCTAAAATGACCAAATAAAGAAAAGAGAAGAGGCAATATGAGCGGGTTGTAAAATACGGTATATTGATAATAATAATTCATGCTGAAATGTATCATCATTGAAAAAAAAGTATTGTTCTCAAAAGTCCAAAGGTGAAGACCAGGATATTAAATAGTTAATATTTACAGAAGCCTACAGAATTTATTTCCTGCCTGAGGAAACTTTTTAGTTTTATGATAAATGAGCACCTGTGTGCTGGGAAACGGTAGCAGAGTTGTGAAATCTTTGTCCTGAGCGGGTGAAATGACACAATTTGACGCACCCTTGCCACAATTGTCCTCCCCTCTGTCCCACCCACTTGTCTACTCAACAGCTCCTTTTCACTTTTTGTACTAGTTTATGCGTGAATGAGGAACTCAAGGTGTGCTGGAGGGCTGGGGTGAAAAGGAAAATAGCCTGTTAATACGAAATGGAAAACCCTGCTGCTGTGTTTGGCTCAGAGGAAGTCTGTGCTAATCCCTTGTTGAGTTTAACACACCTGAGGTGGGGCGAGGATTACCCTTGGTCTGTCCCGACTCTTGTCAACTGTCCGAATGAAATGAACGAGCCTCAGAAAATTCATGGTTCCCTCCTCCTTTGGATAAGTGAGGGGCCCTGGGTGCTAACTCCTCAGTCACCATGAAAGAATTTACTCCTGGGGGAAGAAAATGTGGTTTGAGGGGATCATTTTTTCCCTCCCTGTCTCTCTTTTCCACTCAGACGTCAAGTGAGGATGTTCCTATCTGAAAAGGCTGCTAGAACAAAGGCAATGCGATCAAACTGTGTTATGAATGCCCCTGTCAGCTGTGGCTATAGGTAAACACCTGCCCCCACTCGAACCACCCAGAGGCCCCTATGGGTTTAGTAAACACTCTAGCAAGGTCACCAGCGCCCAACTACAAAGGACAATATAAAAAACTCAAAAATCTATTTTTTTCATGCTCATTTTACCAACTGAAATCTTTGAAAGGCTTGTGTCGTGATTTACATCCACATAAATGTCCTAAAGGCGAGGTCACAGGAATGATATTAATAATTTACATGAAGTTATTTTGGGAAACCCGGGTGTGTTCATTGTGTGATTAGCATGTTGCAGCCTAAAAAAAAATCGAGAGATTGGCAAAACTATCTTAAGTCACTCATCTCTCTTTCTTCCATAGCTTTTTAAACATATCTTGTGGTCCTCATCAGCAGAGGTTGTTGCTGAGCCTTATACCCCTAGTGTGGCGTCTTCTTCGCCTCATTGTGATTCACTGAGCTGTAATGGGCTAATTAATGCCCCCAAAGGGCCCGTGGGTAGAGAACACAGACTGGTAATTGACAGTTGGTGAGAACTGCAGTTGTAATTGGTTGTATTCAAAGGTGGCAAAAGTAGAAGTAGCAAAAAAATTGTCTGGTACTGATTCAACTTCTTTAGTGGTCTGAAATGTACTCAAAGTATAAAAGTAAAAAGTACTCTCTTAGTTCTCTACTCTACTGGCTGTTTCTGTGCAAAGCTCACAGTCGAGTCTCCTCTTGCCTTTTTCGGTAAATTTCTTACGTCATTTTTGGTGTTTTTGTCATATTATGTCTATTATGTGTGACATGCACCAGTCTTTGATGTTGGGAAGTCAATACAAAATAATTATAATAATAATAATAATAATAATAATAATAATAATAAAATAAAAAAAAACAAGCCTGATTCGAAAATGTAAAGAGTAGATAGACATCCCCTACATTTCTACACAAATATCTGTACTATCTACTCTTCACATTTTCAAAACAGGCTTGTTTATTATTTTATTATTATTATTATTACTACTACTACTAATATTATTATTATTATTATTATTATTATTATTCCCCCCCTGGAAAGTGAAAAAGTTGTCAGGAAAATAAATGTAAATACTGAAAACACTAAATAAGAGACCACTGCTCACATAGGAACAAGTTTAAACTAGTGCAACTGCTTTATATGTCTCTATTAAAATGTACATATCTTGTAATGTAACTGAAAGTTGTATCTACCCTGTGATTTGGATCCGCTCAGAAACCGTTTTTTCCTTGACCTTTGCTTCCACCAAGTTTCATGAAAAATTGGGCCAGTTTCCCGTAACTTTTTTCCCGTAATATGGCTGACAGGTAAACGAATTGCACCGAAAACATAACCCTCCTTGGCAGCACAAAGGTGAAATTAATGCTTTATCAGAAGTGTTTTCAAACAGTATTTTCCAGTTTTACATGGTAAAAGAAGTTTGTCAAACGTACGTCTGATAAGATGCTGTCAAAGAACAGCACACAGCTGCTGAACATCTACAGTTCTGCGACATCTGACCAAACTCCATCTGCTGATAAAGACCATGTGATGCAGCCAAAATCTCAAGAACAGGCAAATAAGTGGCCTTTGAGTTGAGATAATTTACCGTTGTTTTCAGTGTAGAAAAACAAACTGTCAAGCTCAGTTACAGAAACGCTGGTGTCGTCCACAGATGGGTCACCCTATGTGCGTGCAGAAAAATGCCCAGAGGACATGCAGCTAGCGTGGCTTGCTGTTAAACTAATGCAGCTGTCATCTGTGGCACTGATTGATCTTTGATCCCCTTCCTGTTGAAGAACCAACAGCCTTAGACCGGCATTTACTTTCACAAAACATCCTAACCCACAGTTCGGATTTGCTCTAGTGTAAATACAGAAAAAGTGTAGGTGCATTCAAACTGAAGTTTAATGGGTAGTTTGTGAGGAAATTCCTGAGAAGGTCAAAAATGTAAAAGGTGATTGCCAAATAAGCTTTAGTGTTTGATGAGTGGCCTCTTTAACCTTGAACAATACCGTGCTTATGAAAATATCTACAGCTCTGACCAGAATGCCCTTTTGTCAATATGTAATGATGTTCTTTTTAATGAGTGTTTTTTTTTTTGGTGCATTTACAAAAAACGACCAAACATGGCCTGAAAGGAAACACAGCACAGCTTCAAGTGTTTACAACAAAAGGACAGTTGCAGGGGGTCACTTCTATCTATCCGTTCAAAAGAACCGGCCAGGAGGAAACAGGAGGCTCAGGAGACACAGACACTGAAACGCTGTCTCTTGTTGGTTGGCGATACGTTTTATCAGTAGAGCACATGGCTGTCTACTGATAAACTAACTGAAAGGGGTGCCAGTGAGCCTGATGACAGCTAGGGCTCATCAGTAGAGGATGCTACTGTTGTTGGAGATTTGAGTGTCTTCATGAAAAAAAAAAAAAACTACAAAAAAAGTTTTGGACATTTTTTCCCCCACTGTCATGGTAACATTTTCTCATCAGATTAATTGTAGACACAAGAAGATGCAAGGTCATAAACTACTCTTCAGGTTAACTGTATTAACAAAACCACTTTTTACAATTAGGTGAAAGTTGACTTATTATATAAACTTGCTGTTGCCGTTTCCTGGTTCAACATTGTGCTTGCTTACTTTTTTTTACGCTTTAAAATGTGACATGGTTTAATTTGGGATTTGTTTCAAACCAGTCTAATGGCGCATGATGCTCATTCTGATGAGCTCCACTGTAAAGCTGTGTTGTACAGCAATGCTTCTTCAACTGTGATATAAGTGAGTAAATTGTTATGATGACCCATAGTGGTAATGGCTTAAACTACAAATCTAGGTTTCAAAACACAGAATTATCTTTAAAGAACCAAAGAGACATAAAAATCTTCAATGTGTTCCTGGATAATCATATCCTAATTAACCTGGAACAAGGCCCCTATTGAACCCCTCATTGATATGTTCAATCATTTGGTTTAATCAATTAATTTAGGAATGTACAACATATGAGCACAAAACTGAAATAATAAAGTTCTCAAACATAGATTTTGAGACACTGTTTTCAAGACGGGGCCTCAAGATGAGGTAACAAGGCAGGAAGCACCTACAGACTGTTATCATATCAACTTTCAATTAAATTAGCCCAAACTGGGAACTTTCAGGGCTTTTGTTTGCACACTCTGCTCTACTGGTTGATAACACAGCCCCGCATACAACAGAATAGCCTTACAACTTTTAAAAATGAAATGGGAAATTAGGTACACGCTGAAGGTGAAATGTGTTTTCCTGCTGTAAAGGCCCAGGGAGTCATGAAACAAGTCTGAACCCCCTCAGTTTGATAAAGGCCTGTTTGATAACTTTCCATATCTGTAAAGCCCATCCCCTAGTCTTTATCCACACTTTTGTTTTGATAGAAAGCAGCAGCTTCCTCTCTGTCGCCGTTACAGCTGGCCAGTACCAGCGCGGCTCGAGCTCAGGGTTACGCGGCCACCTGGCTGCAAGTGCGTCAGTCTGTCATGTGCGGCCGGTTTCCTCGCATTGTGCTGCTTCTCACTGGCAGCGACCACATCATTAATCGCTGAATATGTCATCCCTTGGGGGACCACATGTGAAAGTTAGTAAGACTTGCCCAGCTAAAACTAACTGTGTCATTCCTGTAGCCTTTATTTATCAGAGTTGACTCAGAGTTGGAAGTTGACTGACCATCTGGTTGTCCTGGCTGGGTATTATTAAGTATTTTGTGGTACTAACATCTTGATCACAGGAACTTAACCTGTAGTTGACTTGTGTTTGTGTTTTGGACTGTATAGCAGTTTGGAAACACGCAGGATTAGCACAGGCTGCCAAGTAACTTTACTGGGAAAGAAAAGCTTTCACTTAACTTTAAGTTTTGAATTGGCTTCAGTGGCGGCTTTTTTAAAGTCAAATCAACTCTATTAGCCTGGAGCTCTGCAAGAAATTTGTTAATAATTGACATTTTTATATTACCAATGTATGAAATGAAAATGTGAAAGAGCTTGATGAACCTACTAAAAATCTGCAGTCTAGCAGCTCTGTGTAGGAGTGTGAGGCATACATACTGTGCATCGTGTATGTTGATACTCGCTTCAGCATTCCTCCTAATATCCATTTTTGGATTAACATAAGAGATAAGATAATCCTTCACTGGTTACAAACCTTTCTCATTCATTCATTCATTCCCATTTTATGACTTTCATCATTGATTGGTGCAATATACCCTGACTCGAGAGGCATAGCTGCTGCCAGCAATGTCATGTCACCTTAGCGCTTTAATATTATTCCTCACAACTGTACAAATCACATTCTTCCACTCTGGTCTTAGATTACATTACATTTGCAACGGTATGCTGAAAATCAACAGCAGTTTAAGCTTTATGCTTCACACAAATCCCATGCTTTCCAAAGACTTTAACAGTTGAAATGTACTGTATACAGTCCACTTCTCCAATCTTGTCACCTTAAGGATTTTTGCAATCCATGTCATCTGTAAATTCACACTTCCTGTTGTTACTTCACAGAAGCATAATTCAGGCCATCCTGTTATAGGGTTTCCCCTGCCCCTTAACCACGCATGCTGTTTCCAAAAACAATATCAGACAAGCCACTTCCAAAATCAGCCTCCCAACATCTAACCTCTCAGACCTCAGCAACAGAGCTGTCACACACATAGCACTTACCATATGACACCAATCACCCTCTCATTCCACACTTCACATTACTTTCGTCAGGCCACAGATACGGGACTTAAAATACGAGACTAAAATAGAGAAGAGCTTGCTTTGGTAGAAGCTTTGCCCCTTTTAGCACAGCAGTCCTAAGAATATGATAATTATTAAGACTTCAGCATGTCCCCAGGACTTCTGTACGGGTGCAGCTGTCCGGTGAGTTGGCGAGTGTGACATAGCTTTCAGTTTACAACACGATACGGGAGCAGAAATCCTCCTGCTGTGTGACATCTTGATGAGTTGAACACAAAGAGTTTTTTCTTTCCGCTGTGCAGCACAGAGGCGAGCACACAACATTGTGTGGGCACAATATGCCAACTACTCGCTGGCAGTAATTATGTAAGGGGAAATGATTTATGATTCTGAAGACTGAGCCAATTGGGCCAGCTAAGAATCCTTCAACAATGGGTCAACGAATATAAATGTAAAAACAATAATAAGATCAGAAAACAGGTGACATGTGACACATTTATTTAAAACCACTTAAAAAGTATCAAAATCAAGTACTATCAAACTCCATTACAACAAAACTGTAGCAGTTCACATAAATATACTGTACATCACAACACAGGAGAAACAGTGCAAATGTACAATGCAATGAATTTAAGACGTTCACACAAATTCAAGTCGTACGGATGGTAGTGTATATAACAGTAATAAGCAATATCTTTTTGTGTGCTAGCCTGACAGTTCATGTCAAACCGTGGGTCTTTCTTGTAAACATTTCATGGAGCATAAGATAAACATGAGCAGCCACTCTGATATGAGATAATGTTTTATATTCGAAGTAAAGCTGGTGCAATTATTTATTTATGTGGACGGATATTTTCCACCCAAGTCAAAAATCAATATATACAGTATGTACTGAAATTCAGAAGGTTATAGATTTGGAGAATCAGGATGAGAACTTTTGTATGACTTTTTTTTTTTTAAATATCTGTACAATAAAAAGGTCCTTACCATGGTTAATTTTTAAATGAATTAAATGCGTGGTAATTACAGAAAGGTCATTGAACATTTTATCTCTATGCCTAGTCATGTCAGGTTTCCTTAACCAGTAATCCACAGTTTACATGGAGTTAATACCAGCTAAAATAATTCTGTGCTTAAGTCTGAACACTTCAGCTTGTATTCAGACTTAAGTGCCGATATTGAGGATTCATCAAGGAAAAGAAGCATCTCTGGGACTCTGTTTATCCCTGCTGATGTGAAGAAAATGGAAAAGAATGTGCTTATGTCAGAAGGCCAGTAAGCAGATACAGAAAGGTGCTCAAATATTTTCTCTTGTACTGCCTCGACTCAGAGCTATACTTCCAAATTATCATACTTGCATCTCGTTACGCATATTTAGGTGTGCCTAAAACTATCACCTGGGGGGTTGTGATTATCATCTGACCTCATATCAGGTTACAGAAGAAGTCTGTGCTGAAGCAGAAGGGGGGGGGGAGATGCAGAGCCACAATCCTCCACATTGTTCAAGCCCCTCCTCCTCCTCCTCCTCCTCCTGCCGCTGATCCTCGACCATCTCTGTTGCCCTGACCCCGATCACAACCTGGGGGGATGAAGTTACAGGAAGCCTGATGCTCCCGGAGAGATAGTGCTACTTCATGGTGACAGCCCCCTCTTCACCTCCTCTTTGACTGGCTGCCTGAAGGAGGAGAGAGAAGAGGGAGGGATGTGGGGTGATAAAGGGGAAAAGAAGAGAAGGAAAAGGACAGTCAACTTTTAAGTTATAAATAAAAGCAAAAATATCGAAGATGTCCTCCTGACGTATTTAAGTACAAAAAAAAATAAAAATCACATGTAGTACTTCATATTCTTCCTCATTAAAAAACTTGAATCTATAAATATGCTGAATTGTTTGACTACTGCTGGACACAATTTGTCTCCGACTTGAACCATGAAAGTTTCCATATCACACTTGTTGCGTGTTGCATATTGGACCTGGATAGACCTCCAAACTAGTGATAGATGAATATTAAAACTGTGAGTGTCAAACTCTGATGCACATGCCTCATTCTGCACAGTGACGTGTAAACACTGCAGTTGTAACAAGGAGTTGTAACAATAAGCAAAATGCATTTTTGAGTGGAGGGGGACTTTAAATTATAGCAGCCACCATTACACGCGGCATCATTGGACTGTAAAAGCTTACTTTTTTCAGTAGTTTCTTTGTGACAGAAAGGTTTCCCCCAAACTTCTGTATATTCACACTTTGGATGTGAGGACATTTGAACATGTCTTGACTTTGGCTGAGACATGCTGGCAATGTGTGGTCAGTGATATAAAATCCAAGCACCTCATTCTGAAAAGGTCATGAATTTGGTTCTGTTATACCATTTCCTTCTTATTTGTGAGAAAAAAAATCATATTTTCTCATCACATTTTTCATTCAGGTCCAGAGTGACACTACTGCATTCCCTCCACTTTGTCTAGCTGCATGACAACATAAAAGGGATCTCTCATCACGTTAAGTCAGCCTTGTCGACACTGACTTGGTTAGTATAATACAGTTTTTTCCCCATCTTCTCAACGCGGCGAGGCGGCAGCGGCTCCTCTCCTTGTTTGTGCTGGCTGAGTGGGTGGTCAGCTACAAAAACAGCTCCTCTAAGAGGATAGTCTCTGTCAGTCACAACGGAAGTGTTTACCAAAAGTGGGCCTGAAGGGGATCCTGTCTCAGCGTGTGGTTGGGGTTCCTTTCTTCCCGCCAGACTCCACCAAGCAGCAAATACTGGGCATAATAATGCTCGACAGTAAGCAGAAGTTGAATTCAAAGAAACATAAATTGAAAAGGGAGTAGCTCAAGAAAAAAACAAAAAACAATTAAGGGCTAGCAGTGAACGAACCAGTAAAATTTTAAGATTATTACAGTAAAAGTGCACTTAGTTTGTTTGCTGCGTCATGTGAGCCTGCTTATTGCCCTTTAAACGGAGATAGGATTAAGTGACTTCCTCATGAGTCCATAGATGTCTGACACTTGCCAGACAACAAACGTACAACACACACATACAGGAGGATGCGGTGGCTTCGACTAACCATTAGACCCTATTACAGGCTTTATGGTAAGGGCAGCCGGCGCAAGAGCCGGACGTAATCGCTCATCAAATGCAATTAAGATGAATCAGAGCATGGAGAGATGTTATCACACAACTAAGAGCACCAGAGCAACTGATCAAGCCATCTCCCCTGCAGGGACTCAAGTTCTCTGTTTAACATGTGAAGTTGACAGCAAATAAATATGTAGCTGTGGTAGGGAGGGACTATGTCACTGGTGTTTGTTTTTAATACTGTTTTAGTGAAAGATCTGTTTGAAGAAAATTGCGTCTTGAACAAAAAAAATACTAATACTACTAAAAAATCTGTCCTTTTATTTGTTCTAACAGCCATATAATGTATGTACTGCCAACAATAGAGTAATTATCATACTGTAATTTGGCAAGTTTGCTACACAAGTTCAGACAAACATTACCATCAAAAATCTTTTCTTTGGTTTTCTTAGTTTAAACAAGGTCCAAAAAACATAGTCGGGTGGCCTAAAAACCATTCATGTATTTTAGGACACCTGCTTGCCCAACACACTTGTCCACTGTTCCATCTGAAGGGACCAGCCTTGTCAAACTTACGGTAACTGTAGCTGAGGCATCAGTGAGTGAATGAAGAAAATTGTGGAATAAACATGTCTTAAGTTTTTAGTCCTCTTTTTGTTAACTGATAATTGAGTGTCACTACTGGGAACTGCAGAAACACAGATTAAAAAAAAAAAAGTTTTACAAAGATTTTGTTTTGGCACAATTCCAGTTCCAAAACTGCTGAAAACCCAATGTGTAACTCAAGATCTGAGCTTAAAGGAAACTGGAGCTTGATTCGTCATCTTACCATAAATTCCACTTTTGTCTCGTTGCACGTTATTGTGAGTGTGCTTTTGTTTTCAGACAAACTAGAGTGGACAGTTCTGGTAAGACCTGTTTGTAAAGAGCAGGAAAATGATGATATTTGGCTGATAGAGAGGGAAAACGGCCTACACAAACAGCTACGACACAATACAATGGCAGATTTATGACGCAGTAGCTGGCAAACCCTGTTTGTTCTGAGCACAGAACAGTTAGATAACAGTCAATCACAGTCCTGCAGTTACACCTACCCAACTGCTAGTGAAGATGGGTGATTTGATGAAAAAAGGTTTGTCGACCAGTAGAACTTTTACTGTACCATTTCTACTGAGGTAGCTATCCCCTCTCAACTTCTGGTTGTATTGTATAGGTAATTGCAGGCAATGCAACAATCTATCAGCATGACTACTTCTGTAATACTGCTTTTTAGAGGTCTCTCATTAGCATCAATGAGACAGTACGTTGATTTGTAATGTATTTAGTGTCCAATTAGCCAATGAATTTGTGGTTATTTTGCCAATAGAATTTCCACATTTAACACAATATTAACATATCAATTTAATATTATCTTATGCAAGATTACATATCTTATGTACCCACACCTACTGATGGTGGACAAGTTCAATATGCATACTAAAAAAAAAAAAATAAACAGACTGAAATAAACAGTTCCAAAGTTGAAAGTCTACTGCTGTGTTCATCTTGAATTACGGTTGAGTGCTTCTAAGCAAACTCGATTTTCTGAAAAGCACTGGAACTCCAAATCATGGCTGGTTATCTTCCAAATGGCTGGAAAAGTAGACAAAGTAACCAGCTGGAGCCAAAATTGGATGGTGGCCATATGCTTACTTCCACTTTGTCGTCCCCCTCCTCCCGCGGAGCTGGCAGAGCCTGGCCGGCTGCTCTGCTGTGGCTCCGACTGGGAAAACTGGGGTGCCAAAGTCGGGCCTCGACCCCGGTGAGCACTGTTCTGGCTGGCTGCTGTGTCAGGTGTACGGGGGATCTTGGGCTGGCTTGCAAACGCAGGGATGTAATCACCACTGATGACAAGGAATAGAAGAGGAAGGAGACAAATGAATACTAGTATGCTTTTGCTTTTAGTCGTAATACATTATAAGAAACAAAAATCAGCACCACCAATCATAATAATAAGAAATGGGGAAAACCATACAATCAAACAGCACTGGCTTATGAAAAATCTCAAAAATAAAAAATGTAAGACAAAAGACAAGGCCACACTGACCAAGCAGGCATTCTCAGACAAAACGAAAAGTGCCCTTTGTTGAATATTTTCCATTTTCTTTTTTATCACAGCTACTCTCATTTCTCACTTGCTTACGGTTAGAAGGATCATTCAGAGGTCGTCATTTTATCCGATGAGTTGCTCAGTAGACGTAAGACACTACGGTCATGAACAGATCTCATTTCATAGAAGGTTTCACAGAAATCACGGCTGTCTTGGGTACAACATCAACCTTGCACAAGCCTCTTGCCCTTGACACTCGATAGCATCCATTTCACTCGATAGTCTCTTCTGTGCCAGATTTTTTTAGCGATACTTCCAAGATACCCAGTAGGGACAGCTATCGTGGGGTCATCCATACCATATAGACTCTAAAGGAGCTGACTTCATATGTATTGCAAGTCGGTATTATGTTATTTGTGATTTCTGGTTATTTATTTTTTTATTTATTTTGATACTATAAAACACATGTAATATCATACACAAGATTTTTAAAATGAGAGGCAGTGTTTAGTTTTGAGGGCATTATAGGCATGTTTCCAGAGTTCAGTCAAGGCCACCGATATGTGGAGGAAAAGGGGAAAGCCTTCTGGGGCCAAGCCGCTAGGGGGGCTCATGGAGGCCATCAATAATCCTATCACAGAGGGGCGAGCACGCACACTAGTCACTAGGAGTAAAGTAGATTTGGGGAGGGCCTAGACATTTCTGTGGGTGGGCGTGGTCAAGTATTTCTGAGAGATTCATTGTGTATGCTATTTAATGAGGTGCACCTAAACGCTGTTGTTTACTTGATTTTGCCATATGCTTATTTAAACACAGATTCTGTCATCATGCTTCAGTTCCTTTCTCTCAAACATTGGAATTCAGATAGGATCAGAGCTTGTATTTTCCCCGCCTGCTGCTTGAATTGCTGTTAGTTGATCATTATCTTACCTGCATGCTTTTACTTCCTGTTCGACCTACCCATGCTCGCAACGTTCTTTTTCCTTTGAAAATATACATATGACTATATGACTATAAATAAACAATGTTAACGCCTCATTAGTAACCGTCATAATGTGACATAATGCATATAGCTAATCTGATAAACTAAATGAATAAATAAATACAACTTTTCACTAGATATATTTATAAGTAAATTGTATTCAAAGTAATGTAATACTAGTCTAATTTACATTTTATGGTTGCATCCTTTTATGCAAATTACAAAATATTTTGCAGCTAATTTGCTTGCAAAAATAGTATTGGAAAAAGGCCCTATTGTGTCGTAGAAACCACAAAGAAGGCAATTTGTATTTATGTCTCTGTGTGTAGCAGTAACACTGGCTCCAATATCCCTGTTAACATATCACAAATATTACAAACACTAGCCGTCATGCTGTAAATACAACTGGGGGAGGCACCTTTAAGAGGCTCTATAAACTTACATGCTCTGTGTGGCAGCAAACCAAAATTTGCATACATGCTACATAAATGGCCATTAGCCCCTAAAATCCTACACACAAAATCAGCAAAGGTATCAAGAGCTCAGTCTGTACCAGATGCGCTAAATGCCACTAAATGTGTAGCATTTGGTGGCAGTTCAACATGGCGGACTCCTTAGAGGAGGACCCGCTTCTTCTGTAGATAAAATAATTCTAAGGTAACGAAAACACAATTATTCTTATCTTTAGGTCATTATACACTTATGCATGCTATACCTATGAATATTATTATCATTTTTTCTACCAGTAGATCCTCCTTAATGTTACACACTGGGCCTTTAACTTTGACGTCTGAGTGGAAAACAGCTTCCCAGGTATCACCTGGCAGAGTTTGGCTAAAAAAACAAACAAAAAATAAGAATAAAGCGTGGCCATTAACCTAAAAACAAAAGTCAAAAATATATATCTTTTTATTTGACATTTGCTAAATTACAGTGTTGCTAAGATTCTATTCACCTATAAAGGACGGAGTCCTGAAATCCTCTCACGATGGTTTGGTCTGGTATCTGAACTGGTGTGAAATGAGGCCACTGAAGTCAGTATTGTAGAGGCATTGTACGTTCCTGAGAGAAGGGATAACTGAAGCGTTTTCCTGGGACTCATTACTCTTGGCGGGATTCAGGAGTCAAGTTCCTCTGGGATTTAAAGGAGAGGAGAAGCAGGGGAGGTTTGATTGAATGGGTCTCTTTGTGGGCACTGCTCGTTTAAACGCATGTCACAGTCTCACAGAACAGCTTGGCAGTGCTGAGTCACCGATTGGTGTAGATCAACACTCTTGCCAACTCTCTCCACAGACGAGTTTTACCTCAGCTGACTTACACTGTTTGTTTTTATTAGCATTTTCCCTATTCCCCCTCGGGTCCCTTTTATGATAGGTAGTTGATACCAAACATCTGACTAAATGCACCTTTAACCTTAGGTCTCATCATTGACACACTGCAATTTTATTGTTGTGTCTTTTTTGCGCTTCTTTAGAATTTATGTATATATATACGTATGTAGTATACATACACACACACACACATATAGTTGTATTCTTCATGTTTTATCCATCTCTTCTGTTATTTTTGCAACCCGCAGCTCACCTTGACTGAATTCAGTGGTTCTGAGAGAATGACAGCCAGTTTGTAGCAGACAGAGAGGACAAATATGGCGCTGAATAGGAATGGCTCGGATTGATATCACACAAGCTTCACACTCTCACCATAAATAAGCTTGCCTACTCACTTCTGCTGAGCAGTGAACTGAAAGTTTGCAAGTACAACAGGCCCCTTTCAGGAGGTTCTGTATATATGACCACTGTACCATAACTTATCATCCAAATTCTTTCAGCAACTGAACCAGCCTGCAGTCAAGACAGGCCTTCTTCCCTCCTACTGCACTACTATGCATATGACAATGAACTGGAAACATGGGATGATTGGTGATTTGAAGATCCCATAGATGTTGGAAATGATGGCAAAGACTGTCACGGCTGTGGCAAAGCAGAACACGCAGCAATCAAACAAGCCACTCTCACAAACAGCATCCAGCTCTTCCTCCAGCTGTCTGACAATGATCACTAGGATGTGGCTTTTTTTTACAGTAAAGTATATATACAGTATATATATATATATATATATATATATATTTATATAGACATAAATCTTCACATGCCACTATCTGGCCCTTCATCTGAGCTTGAAGCCATGAATCTCTCGAGCTGATGATGTTTCATTTGCTCTGGCAGATTAATGACAGATACTGATGATATCAACAGATAATGATAGTTGGAGGGACAGTCTAGCGGTGGTGAGCTGCTCTAGAGGACAAACCACTATGATGTACTACGTTCTGTATATAATGACTACTGTTCAACATGTGTTGAAAAACCATATAAATACCATGGGGATATATATTTCTGAATGCATGCCCGTTTTAGTCTTATCCCAGCGATGCCTATTTGTCCTTGTGTGTGGGGTCTCAAATCAGTCTAAATCATTAGAATCAAATTTAGAAACTTGCTGAGCTCATTAAGAAACTCTCTCTCTGTTTTAGCCTTTAAATTGCAGCAAGATGCATGAAAACACACAGAGTCTTGTTTTATGTGTGCATGTGTGTGTGTGTGTGTGTGTGTGTACAGTTAACACTTGTGTCAGTTTACCTGGCAGACTGTCCATTGTGTTCCTCCTGGGACTGTCCTTTTCTGGCTCGCCCTTCATATGGCCTGTCCAACTCTGACTCCTGGGACAACCGGCCACACTCTGAATCTGAGTGTGTGCATGTGTGTGTGTGTGTGATTTGATAGAGAAGGAGGACAAGTTACGGCTTCATCACACTACTTTTGGAAGTATCAAAGTTTCAAATTTAAACTAAAGTCAACACAATACGAACAATAAAAACAGTAACACATTTACGGGCGCCACTGAACCCATCCTGATGCCACGCTGACATTAGTTATATAGAATGCCAAAATGGGTCATTAGCCATTTGGTGCCCATTTTCCTGAGTCTTTATGCTTTCTGAGGAAGTTGCATGAGCTTCCTTGCCTAGTGGACACTGGGCATCACATCAAATGAATCCAATATAAACCAAATAATGAGCAGCAGGTGGAAGGGAAATTAAATTGTCCCACAAATATGGAGCTGATTTTCAGTCCGCACAAAGTGTATTAAGCATGAGTAATCCGACTGCAAACATCTGATAAACAGCCACAGCAGTTTGACATGGTTTTTATTTTACTGAGATCAAATGTATATATGCATTTATTGGTAAATGACATCCACTCACCGATGCTGTGACGTAGGGAGTCAGCAGTACTGGGGCGACTGCCGGAGCGTGTAGGAGGTCGGGAGTTGTGTCGTGAAGGAGGCAGGCTCCCTTCCTCGCTCTTCTGTCTGCTCAGAGGATATTCTCTGTCCCTGCTACCCTCGCCCCCCTGACTGCCGGATCGATAATCCCTACACACGACACAAAGGCAAATAATACAGCTCAGGTTTTGTAAGAACTGACATCAAGGTGTTCATGTTGGTAGTATTAATTTTTTTATAGCATGTCATAAAACCTTTATCTTCTAGTGAGGAAGTTATAAAACCGGTGTATCAATTACTAGCTGTGAGTTGATGCTCCCTTATTTCTGGGAGCAGGTGTATGACACAATCCCTCATAGCTGTCATATTCATTACTCTTTCTTGTATTCTTTCAGTCTAGCTTACAGTTTGCATTGACAATAATCTGCCTCTCAGTGCTAAGCGGTTCCAGATTCCTCCTGCTGACTCACCCATTTAAACAAGCATTTTAGTCAGGTATTGTGATGGTAAATGGCAAAATGTATCTGAAACCATTCTTTCTTTGACCCACTAAACTACTTTTAATGGCTGGAGAGACTTGTGAACAAAGGGGGCAGCACGATCATTGTCAAAGTGACCTATGGGTCAGGCTACAAGCTGTCTGTGCTTTTGTAAACTGGTCCACCTTGAAGGAGAAGGCGCTAGGCATCAGATGTATCTAAATACAGTATTCATGGGTAGTTTACACATCTAATGCACAATGTATAACTAAAGTACCCTTGAGCATGAAACTTAACCATATCCTGCCCACTTACTGTCACTCAGACACCATGAATTAGCATGTCAGTTTGGACTGTTAAACTTACACCATGTTGACATTGCGATGAGAACTTGGTGTGACTGGTCGTTGTAAGGGTTCATCGACACTTGGTTGAGGCAGAGGGGTTGACTTCCTCTTCACTTTTGCCATGTTGGTCATAATCTAGACAATCAAGAGAATTTTTTATACATTAGTTTATTAGACTAGTACGTGTCACTTTCACTCCAAGCTTTCCATGTCTTGTCTGCCAGTGTGAAGGGTACACAACCAATCTCAGGATCACTGTCAAAGTTGTGAAATGGAATGGGCATGTGATGAGTATTTACAGTCTCTAGGCAGTGTGACTGGTTTGACAGGTGTATAACAAGCCCTGTTTACTGTTCCTGTTCAAACGAAAGTCAAAGAAGAAAGAAAGAAGTTCTATGAGCCCATGGAATCAGTCACTAAATTTAGAGTAAATTCAGCATGCTGGGGACATCAACTTAAAAAGCTTATGGCTCTTCCAGATTTGCCGTCTCTGTCTGTAGATATTAACTTTTAGACACTAATTATTGGAACAGCCGCCTTTAAAGGGAACCCCTTCTTGTGAGCTTTTTGGACATCACTACTTGCCTGTCACAGATACATGCTGTGACCGCTGTAGCCATCTAGCATTGGTAGTACAATGATATCAAATCTTACAATTCCTGATTCCTCTAGTGTCTCTTTCGCGTGTAACACATGACAAACAATTTCAGTTCCACTGGTCACAGGTATCATTACCTTTAGCGGCTGTATCTTGAACTAGCTGGAACTGTGTGCAGCTAGCTCAACCACAGACTGACTTTAACTTATTAAGAAACAGCTTTTTTGTAAGTAGTTTATGTCCGTTAAGAAAACAACAACATGTTTATTTATCTTGTTCATAGTGAGGAGTGTAGTGAGTGTGTGTTTTGCCCTTACTCCCAGGTACTCAGTGGTGAGCAGACTCTCCCCAGACAGTTCCCTGGGCTGTGGTTGGAGAACTTCCTCTGTATCGAGGTCTGTCTCCATTAAATCTTCCTGTCACAAGACAATGATAGTAAATCAGAATTACACACTTTGCAGTTGTGTGTTTCACAAACATGCGAAATATAATGGTCACAAAAGACTACCTGAGTATGCAGTGACAGTAATTCAGAGTAACAGTCTGCCTTTGATGACAGCATGAAATCAAATAATGAAATCAACACAAATCAACCTCTTCCTTCCACCATTAAATAACATCCTATGAGTGTTGATAGCTGTGACTATGGTTAGTTTTGTGCTGCCTAATTTATTCATCTATATTTAAAATGTCTCTAAACTAGGTTAAATACCAACACAATGCTTGGCACCAAGTAACACAGTGCCAACAAAAGACCAGTGTAGTCTACACTGGTCTACATATATCAGTTCACCCTTATAGCAATGGTAAATGGATAGCAGCTACAAAAACACCACATCTGATATCAGAGGCAATGGAATAAGGTGCTGAGGGGAGGACTTACATCATTGTCGTCCTCCTCTTCTTCATCGTCTGACTCTGGCCCCTCTTCCTCAGCTGGGTGGAGCACAAGGATCAAACAAGTCGGTGCAGTTTAAAAAAAAAAAAAACAGCAGCAGTGTAAGTCACTTACTGCTCCACTTTGGAATATAATTCCAAAGGGACATATAGTTGAAATAATAAAATACAAAAACAAACCTGAGTTAAGCTGTTTAATGATGAACTCAATTTGTCTGTTGAGGTCTGGGTTCTCCTCCTTGCTGTAGCAGCGGAGAATCTCCTCTACACTCTACACACATGAGGGAAACACATGTAACATGCATGTAAGCACATAACTTTACAGTTGAAAGTTAGCTTCAGAATCAAAACCAGTGACTCAGTGTTCAAACTATAAACTGTAATAACAATTGGCTATAGTCACAAATACTTATTTTATATTTTTATTTTTTAAGTAAGTTGATTATAAAGTAACAGATATCTGAGGCATCTGCTTATATATGATATTTATTGAAGAGGATAGGCCCAGCCACATCCATACTCCAAATGTCGTTGCATGAAGAAGAATTACTCTTCCAACCTGTGTTTGAGTCAGTATGAAGCACTGACACATCCCACCATCTCACCAGTCTCCGGGTACAGTGACTGTGTCATATGACTGCAAACACCTGTTGTCTCCCCTCCAAACACCGGATGCGTGATGACATAAAGAGACAAATTCAGAGCAAACACACAAACTGAGTTTCCTCCAAGCAAGACATTTCAGCTATCTCACCATCTCTTTGGCTTCCTGTCTCACGGTGGGAATACACAGGATACTGTACAAGGCTCCATTCACATACGGTCGAATCTGAGGAAAGCAAAGTGACACACACACACACACACACACAATCTTTCTGATTTCAGGCCAAATGGTAACAACTTGTATGAACATGCAGCAGCAAGGAAACATGGATACAAGGAGGAAAGAATGCTTATGTAGTTGATCCAAATACCAGTATATTTCTATATGGCTTTCCAAAGTTCCTGACAACCTTTCATAAAATGGAATGGAGCTAGTGTTATTTATGTTTTATAGAGTCATAGTCATAGCTCATTTAGCTCATAGCTGTTGTCCGTTTTGGTGTTTAGAATTTCAGTTTTGCTTCGCCGAATGTTGCCAACTCTCTGTTCTCTTGTTCTCTTTGTTGTTTTCTGAATGTCTGAGCATGCCCCAATACTGCATGTGTTAATGAGTTACATATGCTGCGCCCATTTTCTTCAGCCTCAATGAATGTGTCCTGTGTGGGCATTGCATGCATTGCACATGTGACATCTGTGTGAAAGTGTTGACGGATGTGGGTATCACCTCATGGTTCTCATGTCCAAGGAGGTCAGTTAGAACCTTTAGCACATGCTTGGCGTTCTCTGCGCACTTCCTTTTTCCTGTACAAAGACAGCCATCCAAAACACACAAACATACGCACAAGCTTCAATTTAACCACCTGCAATGGGATCTGATTGCCTTCAGCATTTTCTTTGTGTTATATCTTTCTCCACGTATAAGATAATAAAACCACTGACAAATCAATCAAACACAGTGCAGTATTTCACTTTGGCATTCTATGAAAAACAGGCCCTGGGAAGCTGGGACAAAAATTAAGGAAGTTCTGAGAAAAAAAGAGTATCTTAGCTTGTCTGTGTCTAGTAAAAGGGTGGTGGCATGAACAAAGATACAATCAAGATATGATGTAAGAGTAAATAAGTAAAAAGGGGAGTGTATCGATAAGTACTCTTATTTATTATTATTTATAATAAATTAAATTATATTATATTATTATTTAGAACAAGGTGTAAAAGCTAATATTTTATACGCAATGCAAATACAAACAAAGACATTTACTCTGCTGATAATACAATCATTCAACAGGGTCATAGTTAGACACAGACGATATGCTGCTTTTTCTTGGCTTCTTCAACAAACCTTCGATATACTATTGCAGTGCCAGCTAGCTATACAGAGCGGTATAGTGGACTACGACTTGGGTTTTTGGCTTAAATGTGGGTGAGTCAAAATTAAAGAAGCTGCACATGTTTTCAGCTTATTGTCTTCATTAGGGTCAAAAACATTTGGGGGGGAAAAGGATGCCTTGAAGCCTTGAGATTGTTTTCTAATTTCTTACAGCTTTAAAACACAGAAGCATGCAGAAGTCTATTCCTTGTAATTGCATATTTTTAATGGAAACTAATTATATGGCATTTTTAAAAAGGCACAGTCCTACTCACAAAACTGATATCCTGTGTAGTGTTTTGGACATGATCTATTTAAATGTATAAGCAAAGTGTTATTCTACAATTATTCAACCATATCTACTCAGTATCCACCTGTGCCTCCCCTTTACCTTTTGTTCGCAGACACAAGTTCATGAGCAGAGCTGCAGAGTACTCCAGGGTGTAGTCACTCAGGCAGTCTGAATCCTGAAGCTCATCCACCAGCCAGCCAATCAGATCATCTGCTATCATGGCCGTCTGCTGGCTCCTCCTACCAAGGCATGACGGTAAATAGTGGATTAAAAGGAACTTGAACTTAAATATTTGTGTTTCTCAGCTGTGCAGTTTGTTCTTTAGGTTCCCTGTCTATGTTAATGTGGGTTTGTTGTGATTGTAGACCATCTACAAGTTGAAATAATGGGAAAGCACCATTTTAAAGCCATAGTTGTTTTTTACATGCTGCCATACTGAGATATAGGAAAATTAGAATGTTTGTTTTCTGATTGGTTGTTCTATGTAGTTTCCATACATGTACACTCAAATGAAAATGTATTTAAATGTAGCTTCAGTAAGACTTAAAAAACAACTTAATTAAGACTGCAGGTGATTGAAACGGAAAAAGCAGGGATTTATAAAATAAAATTATAAAAACAGTGGGTGTTTTTAAATTTACCTGAGGCTGAGTTTCTGCAGGGCCACTAGCACATTCTCTCTAGTGAGGGAGTCATTTTCCTCCTTCCTGAGTACCTCTGTCAGAAGTTTCAGAAGAATGGGGATTTGGGAGAGATAAACTCGACCTGTAAGCATTCACAGAACATGAATTAGAAATAATCCTCTTCCTGACATTTTAAAGCTTCACTGGGCAACGTCAGTCCCTTTAAAAACACAACAGTTTTGTCTAAGTTACCAGTAGTGGCTTCAACAAAGAAAAGCCATAAATTTGCCAACTGATTTCAAGGTACAACTGTGAACACAAGCGAGGACAATACAATACAACAGAATGATTCAAGTCCAATCACACTTAAACAATTCCTTGTTGTTGAGGATGAATGTTAACTAATTACTCTCTTACAAAATAGTCTTACCACAATTACTTACAACTACATGATAGAAAGTAATTCAGCAGAAACTATATTTGTCTTTACAGAATGTCCTCCATAGTTAATGGCATGCTGCTGTGGAGGACCATTAGCGGTTTCAAACCTGAATGGAAAGTTATGATAAAAGGCCTACCATGAATCTATGTCTCCAAATGCATCCAGTCAGACAATGACTCATGATACAAAGAAATAATGATGCTTAACCGAATGTAATGCCAGTTGAGCACTTACCCTCTGCAAGGGAAGCGAATGCATTGATGAGACGAGCCATGTACTGGCGGACAATCTCGTTCTTCGATCTCAATAAATCAAGCACGGTTTTCTATGAAAACATAAAATGTAGGTTAGTTAGAAATCATTAATGCTCTATAGCTCGTCTATACTTTGGTGAATCCAGTTCTTGTTACTGTACTAACTAATTTAATACCTGTGGTCTAAAATCTTGTAGCTTTCTGATTTCTAATGACTATCAGTGAATCTCTTCAGTATTGTTTTTTGCGGTTTCAGAAATGCTTCCAGTAAAAGTGTGTGTGAAAGGCAGAATGCACTGGCATGGGGACATAGATGAGCTCTTAAGAGCACTTTATGGAACTGGCCTGATCATAGCACTAGTATTTTTAGAACCACAGTCGGGCCACAAGCTGACCAGCACACTGGGAAAACTTGCTGCAAATGTCCGTTACCTACGGTAATTTATGCTTTTTGCCATTGTCAGAGAACAGAGAACATTCGTTTTTGTGATTTGATTACGAGAAATTGACACCCTTCCACTATTATTATGTCTCTCTATAGTAAATGGTGTCATTTGGAGGTTGAGCACCGTGGTAAGTACAAAGACAAAGAGCTCAGGTGTGAGGTGAGGATCATTTACCCCTCTATAAAGGGATTATCTTTAACATGGCAACCAACGGCTAAAGGCTAGGTGAAGGGGCTGTGAAAACAAAAGAAGAAAAAAAAAAAGAAAAAATACAATAAAGCATGTAAGAAAGACATGCGGCTTTAGAAAACCTTTTGAGAAGGTTAAATTTGGAATGTAATCGTTTCCTTGTCATAAGAACAACAGCTAGTTTAAAATGAATAAAATTACATACTTATAATATTGTGGGTCAATAGGTGTCAGGTAAAATTAGATTAAATGTCAAGACAGTGATTAAGAAGGTCACTGTAGGTAAGAGTTATTCTAACTATGACTAAGTATCAGTCAAGACATTGTTAGCACCCAAAATATTTTTAAATGGTGGGAAACTGATGTCAAAGCAATATGATGATGATTTCAGTGCTTGCCTCTGACAACTGTAAATAAAATACTGTATCTGTAGTTGATAACATTGTTTCTGACATTGTTTTTGCAGATTTTGTTTGAATCAACAGAAAAAGCTTCTCCTTGCCATCTATATGGTATGCAAATGTTAAAACAGACAACATATCGCAGAAGCATAAGGGTGACATCTGAAATGATATGTCCAGTTTGTCTCTACAGTCTATGATCAAATCATAGATCAAACCTGTGTGCACCCAGCAAAGGTGCCAGTTCACCAGCTCAGGCCTGTCCTGAAATTAGAGCCTGGGGATTAATTAGGCAGTGAGGCAAATGAACAAGAAGTTATTTTTTACTTTAGCGCTGGTGATTGCATAAAATATAGGTTGGAGAAAATCTGTGTCATTTCAGTTCACATCAGTAGACATTTTAGGACAAATCTTCCATAGTAATTGCTTTATAGTGTTAAAATACATTAAAAGTTGTAGTGCTATAGTCCCACCTGTTTAGTGCTGTAGCGCTCCAGCAGATCGTTACTGATATAGGCCTGAAGCACAGTGTCTCTCTGTTCACCAGGGAGTGAACGAGTCAGTCTCTAAAAAAACGTGAGAAAGAGACCAACCAGTGAAGACTCAAAACAGTACACATGCAAAGTGATTATGAATGGTGCTCAGCTCCTTAAAAGCTGCCTCACAGTAGAACCTCTGCTTTTTATTTAATACAGCTGCTCAGTCAAATACTGTAGATATACTCGGCTGCAATAGCTTTGTGTGAACAACGTATACTGTTTGCTAGGACAGAAAACATTTGCTAAAGTTGCTAGAATGAAAAAAAATAGGCAAAACAGGGAAAGGGTAAATTTGCTATCACTTTGCTGTACAGTATATCACATTAGCCTTTCTGTATATGCTAATCATGGATAATATTACAGCCAAGTGTAAAGTCCTAATGGGTGACCAGGGATAATCCACAAACGCTTCACTAGAGGTTAGGAATTGCTTAGATTTCCACAATTGTGATGCCATTTCCCTATCATGCTAACTTCAGAAGATTGATGCTACAAATGTAAGACTAAACTTTAATCAGCCCTGAATGAAAGGTGGGTACTTTCAGCAAAACAGTGAGAAAGAACAAAATAACATGAAGCAAACATTCAAGGATTAAGGCACAAAAAAGTGTGAATTACTGCCTTAAGGGAGTAGACAAACAAGTAGCAGCAGTGGTCATACGTGTTAGTAAATAAGTATAATAGTGACTATCATGCAATCATAACATGCAAGATATGACATGGCATGAGAGGAATAGGGGATTATTAATATACTGTCAATAAGAATATAAATACTCACCCAGCGTAGTGCCTGAAGCAGCAGGGATCTGAGTCTATCTGGGCCTTCAAACAGGTCTTTCTTCAGCTTTTCATAATCTAGTGAGGGTAGCATTGGCACCTCCTTAGATCTTCTTAAAATGAATAAAGAATACGTGTCAGCCATGTTTTATCATGGCACATATCAAACTGTGCAGATTGAAAACCTCTTCAAATGTAAGACTTACTGCGGTGCGATGGATGCTCGTAGCATCGAGGATGCCTGCCAGAGGGGGCAAAATTGATAAAAGACAAAAGAGGAGCAAAGTGTATTTTAGAATTTACTTATTTATTACTCATTATATTTGTCACAACTCTTACTTGAATGTGTGAAAAACATTACCCATGCGACTGTGCGTCTTTTATCACCCTTACTATCTGGTTAGACACTGTCTTAATAAGTCATTAGTGTTTTTCTGGACATGCATGCATCATGCTTGTGGTACATGCTAAATCCCCAGACATACATCAAAGTACTGTTTGGTAACATCGCCCATGCAGTCAGTGTTAAGTAGGCTGTAAGATAATTCAACAGTTAAAAAGTACCATAGAGGGCAGGTTAGTGTGAAATAGCCATCCTGTCATTTGTTACACCTCAGTGTACGTGTTCTGTAGGCCTGCGTGCTGTTATTTTAGAGAAAAGGCTTCTGAACAGAGTAAAATAAGATGCTGGCAGTGCTGTGTGTGTGCGGAGGAAGGGTGAAAGAACTAATTATTAGTGTTTTTTACTATTGAAAGGGGATTTTGAGCCCTGAAATCCAATCTGAAGCCTGGGTAGTTAGGCCTATAGCAGGAGCAGCGTAAGGTCAGGGGAGTGATGCGTGTCGTCTGAGGTATCAGGTGGTCTGGCCACATTTTTGCTTTGCTGTGTAGTAGGTAATACGGAAGTAGAGGAGAACATTGATACTTGGATTCTTTCCCAAATTCCTGTCTCTCTAAACATTGTTCTGAAGAATGCTGAAGGGCAAGGAGACATGTTTCACTGAGACATTTGACACTGGGGGGCCTAGACTCTGGGGGGCCTGACTGAGATTGACATCCAACACCCTTATCCTGAATGTATAAATAAAACTAAGTTGGGAAACAACAAAAGAATGTATGTGCAACAATGGCAGGAAGGAAAACTACACCAAGTATTTTTTTTACATTTTTAATAAATCTTTTGATTCTCAGATTTTAGCTACACAAAGCAAAGGCTTGACCTGAATTCTCTGACAATGCACAGTTTACATAAGAGATGCCTTTTCTCTTCTTTAGTATCTCATCTCACCATCTACATCTGAAGGCCATCTATTGTTAATGGTAATGTCTACTGGGCATAAAGAGATAATTATGGTCAATTATGGATTTATGTTGCAATAAGATTGCACAGTTGCTTTTTTATGTGAGGGCAAATATGGTCTCTCAGGTTTTAGGTACAGATGAGACAAATATTGTATCCAGGTTACCAGGTATGTTTAACTGAGCCTGACAGTGTATACGGTACCTTTAAAAAGAAGACAGATATCCCATAAGGAGTGTTGAGAGGGGGGGCAATGCCTGCGGTCTTTGAAAACAAATGATTTTAATGATGAGGTCCGCCCTGAGATGCTCTTGTTTGGCTTAACAAGTGGCCTGACAAAGGAGGTCATTCTTCCAACAAATTAGGTCAAACATCCTTTCAAGGTAGGACAATCTAGTAGAAACTACATGAAAATGGCAGGGAATATAGACTGAGCACAAAGGCAGGCCAATGTATATCTGTAGTAAAGGAGGGGGAGGCAGACATAAAGACAAGGAGAGGAGGAGGAGGAGGAGGAGGAGACACGGCGAGGCACAAGCAAGATGAGAAGTGGGAACCTGCTCGATGACAGGAAGTAAAGATGAATACGTATGAAACTTACATAGCCATCATCATAGGGACTCATAGAGTAATATCCCTTTGTGGACAAAAGCATCACACACGCAAAAACAAACACACAGAGAGAAGTTGTTCAGTTCAAACAGAAAGAAACAGATTTCAACACCACAATGAAGGCCACTGACGGTAAGCGTGAGGTTTTTGGAGAGTTTGGTTTCGGTTTAATCACACTGCAACAGATATCAAACAATGAAAACAAGGATAGAACAGTTTTTTAGCTTCTTCAGCTATTTGCTGTTTCATTTGAATCTTTCTACGCTACTCACTCCTTTAGCGTGCAATCACGTCATCATCAAATATGGATAATTTCTATTCTAACCACTATGATCAAAGTTACATTTCAAAAGGGATTTTGTGAGCCACTGTGACCAGTGTTTGAAATTGCTGTTGTTAAAGGTTAACAAGCCTTTCTCATCTGTGTGTATTAATGGAACACCAGGATGCAGTCACCTTTTTCCAGGATACAAAAAGCGCAGGATTACTACATGGTTTAAAGTTGGCTGCACACAGTACAGGATGCAGATAAACCCTCCTTTCTAAAACATCTCTTTAAAAATCCTTTTCAAACACAGTGTCAACTTGACCAACGTGTGTGACGTAAGGCCCTGAGACCAGTTTTCTCTTACGTTCTCTTTACGTGTAAGAATGAGGCTCCTATCAACAGTCCCCGCACTTGACATTTTCCATCATTGTACTGAAATCATCTTGCCTTTAGGCCTTGTGATTTGTTATTCTTCTACCAGCCAGGTGTGAAGAAGAAAGAGAGAAGAAAAGTCTGTGTGCTCTCACTCACAGTGCCAGGTCTCGTGAAGTCAGTGCTCTGCACCACGCTCTGCCTCATCTGGCTGCTGAACAGGCGAACACACACACTCTGCAGGTACTCAGGGGAGATCTGCAAAAACATTGTAGGCCCTTTGAGCTTTAAGAGCAGCAGGGCTGCCATTTTTGTGTCCCTGTTTAACAACTGTGCCGCCTACTAGCATGTGGGTGCATATACAAAATACTGTTCTAAAATTACACAGTGTTATAAAAAGGTTTTTTATTTTAGTGATTGCATATAAAACAGTGAAATTTGCATATGTAAGTAACAGCCTAATTAAACCATTAATTAGATAATTAGTCTCATTGTGCGTGTGCGTCTCTTTCTGTGTGTCCGGCCTACCATTTTTCCGCTGACGGTGGCCTCCAATGAGTCGACCAGCTCAGCAGTGATTCCAATCAGGTTGTGGTAGTCGGCCTGCATCTTGTTGAACTTTCGCACGTAGCTAGCGATGCGGCGGTCCGATTCAGCCAGTTGGAGCTGTAGCTGCTGCATGGCCTCTGTGCAATCACACAAACAACATTCGTATCATGAGATACCTTCTCTGTGTGAAGTTTAAGTGTTTGTCATAACATGTTAATGTTGTTGTTTGAAAAATGTTAAATAAATGGGTGGAGGTTTATCTACTTTTTAAAAGATATTTTTCAGTCTGCAGGTCAATATTTCAGATGTTGATTCTATTCTAAGGGAGTAATTATTAACCTTTATCAACCTCATTCTGCAAACAATTGCAACACTGATATAACTTCTTATCTAGTCTTTGGCATAGCTTTCCATCATTGCTTCAGTCCCTTTGAATTATCGTAGGCTGTCAATCACTTACAAGAGATTGTCGGTTTTACTACAGACACACAAGTTGACAAATTAGACACGTGAATGTACCAATGATCTAGGTGATGTATATATCAAAAGTTGTGTAATAATATGACTTTTATCTTTATCTGGACTATTTGTCCACCACTGTTAGGAAATAAGCAGGTGTGGTCTTTAAGATTTCAGTGGGTGGAAGCTTTTGTTCCTTTCCAGAATGTGGATTTGAGGGTAAAATGAAAGCCAAAAATGACAGCACCTACTCGAGAAAATATTGAGTAACTGGCACTGACAAACACAAGTGGTTGTATAGCCGGTCTGCAGTTGGTGTTAGCAAAAAGTAGATTTGATATTTACCTTTAGTACTCCTTCCTCCCTCCTTCTGCATGACGCCTGTTAAAGAATACAAACTAGGACTCAATTGAACACAAATCAAACTACTGTATGTTTCTTTAGTCACTATTTTCATCCAGAGCTATACAAATGCAATAAATGACTACGTCAAGATGTAATGCCTCGTTTAATTTTTACAGGACATTGGACAAGCACATACATCCTGTTTTAAGCAGGCAAATTTGTACAGGCTTAAGACAATATGCGTTATTGCACGAAGAGATATACGTGTTGATATAGAATCAATGACAGTTTGTTTTAAAGGGAGGGATAGACTCATTTCATAAATCCCTTGCATGGGCAAACACAGCTGTCATTGGGTGCGTTTACATGCATAGTCAGCTTACAGACGGATTTCTGCAGTGAGCTAATTTACATGTCATGAAAACGTTTGCGGTCACTCGACCAAAAGAACATTTTCATGTGACAGTATGTTGTGCCAGCTGCCAAAAGTTTGCAGTGTTTACACATTGAAAGTGTTTGCACATTGAAAGATTATACATATATATAACCTCACTTTCTAATGTTTTAACATATTCAAACATGACAGATTTTCTCTGGTCAGCCCCTGAGATGATGGGTGCTATGTTTATACGCTTTGATCATCAGCCAGTAGGGATAGAGTTTAGTTTCATGAATGTGCAACAGGAAAGTTGATCCACTGGGTTTCCAGTAAGATCAACAAAACTTGTTATCCTTCAATTGTCCTTCTAGTCTGAAGGGGTTAGGGTGAGTTAGTTACAGATTAGGTTTTGCCATATTCAAAGGTAGCCATCTATAAATGCAAATCAGACAGGATTTATTTGCAGGATATGCAACAACCAGGTCAGGGAAACAGTCAGACTGTTAAGGCTGGGAATAATTTGGTAGTTTAAATCTTATTTGAGATTTAAATGTGCAGTTCAGCCAGAAGACTGGAAGAATGGAAATCACTCTGTACTTGGCATCTGTTAAATCCCTGAGTTGTTCCTCTCAAGATTTAGTTGTGTTTTTCCCCACTGCTGATCTATTATTTTAAAGCCAATTCCTAGAGACATTTGTCTCCTTTGATAAGTCTACACAACTTGTACTTAATGTTATGCAGTTTGGTAAGCCACCTCTGTGAGGGCTGTCAGGTGCTGTATGAACACAGTTAACTACTGGCAATTTAGTAGGATACCACTGCCAAAGACCCAATTCAATGGTGATGTAAGAAGCTGAATTGAGCATTTCATAGTTGAAGGTTGTTTTTCCACTACTTAGTATTTAGCTGTGGTTGGATTTGCTACTAATATCACATCACTGCAACACAGCAAAGACATTGAAATAGAAAGAGAAAGTCACCCGTCTTTCACAGCAATGACATGAAAGCAAGTCACAATAAAAGGATACATATAAATTCAGAAGCCTTGGGGTGTTGGACGGCTTCAATGTCACTGACAGAAACTGCTCCAGCTTATCCTTCAACTGCGGTATCCAGGAATCCTAAATATACATAATGTAGGTTGGAGGAAAATACAGTTATGTTCATTCTGAAGGTGGCACTGGGTGAAAATGTTGCATATGCACAATTATGACTAATTATCAACTAAGTAATGTTCTGTAATTGGCAGAGCACCTGGAAAAGATCTTTGAAAGAGGGATGGACGGTGGGGTTGGGAACGAAAGGCAACGCATAGTAAGGCAGAAACTTTGTGGTTTGGCTCAGCGCTGCTCCTCGAGTCTCCAGGTACTGCTTGAAGTGGGAAATCCTCTCCTCAAACTCAGCTCGGTCCTGGAGACAGATTCAAACTGATTTATTTCAAGTCAGCAACAATTTAAACCCATTTCATTATTTAAAACACTTACTTCTGATGCATGCACACATTCTCTTCAATTATATGATTCTGTTTCTTAGCCTGTTATCGTCACTTGAAACTGAAGAAACTGTTGATTTTTTTTTTTTTTATAACTTTACATTGAAATACATAAACACAAACTGCAATGACCTAAACAGTGACAAGTATATGATAGAGGTTATAGATGCTTGCTTGTATAGTGCACCAGCATCATAGATAGCCCACTGAGAAAAAAGCCAGCAGCACAGCTTAGTGGTCATTTTGAAAAATAGCACATAATAATGTTCAGCTATAGGGCACAATAGGGTTGCAGGACATAGTTGGATTTTGTATATGCAATAAGGACTGCTGTTGTTAAACATTTAAACAAGAAAACAAAACAAACAAACTTGTACGTACGTGTCTACCAGGGTGTCTCCTCAGTGGGTAGATGGTGAAGTGGATGTGAAGGTAGAACTCCAGGCTCTGGGCCTCGGGGTCTGTATCTTTTACCTCTGAGGGAATATTGTCTGTCCACAGTTCAAAGAAGACTTTGTGGTCTCCATCATCAAAAGAGCTAAGGAGGTCTTTCTAGAAAAGTCAGAGTTAAAAAGGAGTGGGTTAGGGACTACACCATAAAGCATGCTGTTGACTTTCATAATGCTAATATCAGTGTACTGCCTTCTGAGCGCAGATACAGGGCCCGAGGATGCAGAAGTGCTTGCTTTGGCAAAAGCCTTGTACCCCCCAGCCACAGCAGCCGTAAACAGGGTTACTCGCTGATAGAATTAGGAGTCTTGTTTTCAGGTTTCGCCTGTGGTTGCTGTACTTCATGTATTTCTCACGTCATCGTTGTGTGAAGACGTGTGTAAAGTGGAATGTGTATTTTCCCTTTGATATCCAGAGCTGTGATAATATTATTAAAACACAGGCTGATATTCCTCAGCTGTATGGTAATAATTAGCAATGTGTGTGGGGGATCTTCCAGGAAAAACAAGTTATAAGCACTTTATCATTTACCTGAATGACACGAGTCTTTGAGTCCCTCTGAATACTTCCTTGAGGCTTTGAGACGAGCTTGCCTTTGTTTTTGCACTCCTTGTCGAAAATGTGAACAGTCTCTTCAAAGTCCTCGAACTTAAGATACTACAAAAGACACACAACAAGCACAAGTGTCAATAACTCCATCATCATCTTAAACAACTTCTTGTGTTGATGCTCCGTCTGACTTTCACATTGCTCTGTGTGGATTATCCAAATTTTAAAGTGTTACCTCCTTGACCATCCCAAGAAGATCGGCTTCAGTTGCCAAGATGTCCCCCATCTTGGCTGCCTCCCTCGAACTCATGTGAGTGCCCAAAACCTTTAAAACACCTACCGACAGAAAAGACTTCTGTTCTCATGAAATAACGTTTATACCTCCAGCCAGCATTCTGCAGAGCCTGCAATGGTAGATAGATAGATAGATAGATAGATAGACTAGATAGATAGATACTTTATTCTTATCCGGGGGGATGCGGAAATTCAAGCACCAGTTAGAATACAAAAATACAAACATACATTAAACTTAAAATAACACCCTGACCTTAAGAACAGAAATCAAAAAGAAGATAAAATATAAGATATAAAGTATTATGTATGTATATAATGTATCAAATTAACAGTAGCTACAGTACACATTGCAAACAGTAAACAGTACAAATGGATGTGCAAATAGGACAGTAACGTTACATGCCACTGTTGATAGTCATGTGAGAAAGTGTAGCACACACAACCTTTAATTTCTTTAATCGTTTCGGAGTCTTAAATTGAGGTAAAGCAGCAATAAAAAGGTTTTAATGTAACTAACAGTTAATTTTCTTAACCTAATTATTTAACACAGACATTTTACTGGCATTTTAAAGCTGTAAGACCGCAGCGAGGACGTAGATATGCTGCTTTTGAATTTAAACATTATCTTCAACAAACAACTTCTGCGACAACGTCAACTTTAGTCAAAATGTGGCAAGCTAAAGTTAGTACTAACTTAACTTAGCTGACGGCTAATCAACCTTATTTCGCGGTAAGAGAGGACATCATTCTCACCTTATTCGCACATATTTTACCTCGGCTACGGGCTTATATCGCTTTCAACGTGCTCATCCACAACTGAAACTTATATAATCCATTTTAGCCAAAGCGTACGGGCTTCACTTAAACTGGTGTTAGTTAGCTGGCCATTAGCTAGCAACCGTACACAGTTAGGACGCTAAAACACCTAGCAACCGAACCGTCGGGAAATTCAGGCTGGAAAGTAGAGGCACATGTCGTAAAAGAATGACAACTCTGTGCGACGCGCTCATCGTGTCTGCATCCGGTTTGGTTCTACTTAACGCTATTTTTATCCGAAACTATCAATTACTTTTTTAATATTTATCCAAAAAAATGCTTAATATTGCGCGGTGTCCCGTGAAAGCATGCTTTATTTAGCTAATAAATAATTATTTACACTAATGTTTTTGAACATTAAAATAACGACAGATATATAGCTATAACGTTGATTTTTTTTTGTAATATTGTTTATTTTGTCATACATATATAATTACAATTCGCCCAATCTTTTTTTTCAATATCAACACTAATAACGAGTTTGTATTTTCGACCGGAAGCAGTTTGCGTGTCAAAGGTTGAGCACATTGTTCCTCGGCGGTACAGTCTGTTTCAAACCGTAATGAATGAAGTTTTACTCGAATAACATATCCAGCGCGCATTTTACACACACGGAGAGAAAGAGAGAGAGAGACTGTGACGTTTTTTCCGTACATAACATCATACAAAGAGTTCATCTTATTTGAGGTAAGCTTGAGGAAGTGTGTACAACATGCCAATGCTAACAGCTAGCCTGAATTGGAAACACAAGCTGAAGCTGTAGTTATGATAAGACCTCATTAGTTTGGCTAACGCTAATTCAGCTATACCAGGTTTCAACGTTTTTAAATTAATGCTGAGTCATAGTAAGTTTAGTTTTACATGTTCATATGTTCCACATAGGCTCTTATGGGTGGGATGTGTTCCTCGTCAGTCTGAGTTAAAGCTAGTGTTGTGAAGGAGCTTTAACTTATTTATTTCTGCTGCACTTTGCACTGTGTAGCTTTGACAAAAGGTAATGTGTGATCTGGATAGACA